GCCTGGTGATGAACAGCTAAACCTGAGGTGCGCCATCTACGCTCCATTTTGCGACACAAAGTCTTCATGGCACGCAGATCATCATTGTACCAAGGAGCGGAGCGTGCAAAAGAAACAGATCGTGATTTCCAGGAGCCAGCGTATCCAGGCCAGACAACAGTACAGAATTCAGCATTGAAACATTGTCATCCAGATCATCAGATAGAGAGTCACAGTTTAAAAGAGAGTCAATAAAGTCAGAAAAATCAGAGGGCTCAATAGATCTCCAATTCCTATAATTTATAATGAGTGAAGTGTTTGTATACATGACAGGTATTTCCAAATTAAAAATGACAGCCCGGTGATCAGACAGACCTAAATCAGTGGTAGTTAACTGAGTCACAAATGAACCACTGGAAATCACAAGGTCTAAGGTGTGGCCTTTGTCATGCGTAGGACAGTCCACTAGTTGGTCTAATTCAAAGCACTCAATATGGACAGAAAGTCTTTTGTTATTGCGGAGTCTTTTATGTCCATATGAATGTTGAAATCCTCCAGTAAAAGAATTCTTTCAAATCTGAGGAAGAGAAAAGACAACATATCTGATAATTCAGATAGAAAGTCTTTATTAGTCTTAGGAGGCCTGTAGACTGTAGCCACTGCAGTCGGAAGGGGCGTAGAGACACTCAGAACAAGACATTCAAATGAGGCAAATTTGGGAGCAGCCACGGGACACAAGTTGAACTTTAGACTGTGCAGCACGATGATACCCCCACCTCTACCAGAAGAACGTGGGAGATCAAATAATCCATAGCCAGCAGGAGTCAGTTCATTAAAAAGAAGACCGTCAGATTCTTTGTGCCAAGTTTCAGTTAAACAGAAAAGGTCCAGCTTTTTTCTAAAATAATGTCAGATAAAAGAACAGCTTTGTTGTTGACGAGCGCCGCGTTAAACAGTGCTGATTTCAGCAGACGCGGGGGAGCCGATGCATCCGATGCAACCTCATCACGCCTGAATGCTGATAAGTTATTGAAATTAACCCCTGTAGGTCTAAACGGCAGTCTATGGGGTTCACGCAGAAATCTCGGATAAGCGACAGATTTAGATGTTGAGCTTAAAAAACTACGCCTTGAAGAGCGATGTATGTACCGCTTAGGTCGCAGTATTCCAACATGACTGCAGAGAGCTCGTATATCATTCGCTGTATCAAAACGTCTGTTCAGGTTCAACAACTGGCGAGCAGTGTACCTGATAGCCATTTGGGGAAGGTCCACACCAACAGCAGCCTCACAGCGTGTAAGCAGTGTACGTCCTGGGCCAAGCAACAGAAGAGTAAATTCCAGTAAACAGTACTCAGAGATAGAAGCAGTAGTCCAGCGTGCGAAGCATAATTCCACATCACGGTAGAAAGTGAGAAAAAAATACAAAACACAGATAGACTTTACTGGCTCATAGCCAAAATAAAAACAATTAAAAATAAAAATGGGAGAGAGGAGCGGCAGCAAAACGCGCCAGCGTGCCCTTCAACCGGATATGATATGGACATTGTCTCACAGATTCACATTATTGTGTCAAATTATTTTGAAGTGACTGAATCCAGCCAAATGTTATATACAGAAAGACTTATAATAATAATAATAATAAATATAGCTGCAAGCAGCAATACCGGGGCCAAGCGCAAAGACGACAAAAAAGACAAGCCAACATGTGTCAGACCAACTGCAGCAAGACGCAATTGAAGACATTTAAAGATGAATTTAGACAAAATGGCTTAAAATACAAATACAGTAACTTATAAAATGATTCAATGGTTTATCACTTTCGAACAATAGGTGGCGCAGTTATGAAATCGATACCTTGTGTTCAGAGTGAGATGACAATGACATACAAAGTTTGGTGTCAAAATGTAAAGGCATTGCAGAGATAAAGCCTAAATAGTCATTTTGGCACCATGCCTCAAATTTGATGCTGAGGTATACGAAAACGGTTTTGTCTATCGTCACGCAATCCATAACTTTTATTCGCACCGTCTGGAGATGATACGATTCAATTTTCGTGAAAATCGGACAAATGGTCTAGGAGGAGTTCGAAAAAGAAGTTTTTCAAAGAAATAAAGATGGCGGACAGGAAGTTTAGCTGATTATGCAAAAACCTGATATCTATGTTTTCGGCATAACCCAAGGAATCTATTAAGATCAGTTTCATTGCAATAGGCAAATTTGTTCAAAGTTATTAGCGTTCTCAGAAATTAGTTATAACTTTTGACCAACAGGTGGCGCTGTCTCAAAATCTTTTGAAGTACCTTCAGGGCATGCTATTTATGGCACAAACTTAGTTTCGTAATGTTAGACCAATGCATTTGTTTAGTATAGCATTTTATTTCACAAAACTCTATTGAAGTCAATGGGAATTTCACGTTTTCTTATTTTATAGCGCCACCAAGAGCCTCAGTCCCACAATTTTTTTCCTGTCTTCAGAGTGAGCCCATACATATGTGTGTCAATTTTGGTGAAAATATCTCAATTCGCTTCCGAGTTATAAACATTTATATGAAAAAACACGTAAAAAAATGACTGACACATGACTTTTTTTGAATTTTACTACCCCTTACTATCAATATTTCGCATTTGGCATTAGCATATAGTTAACGAGCTATGATTCCGTGTTTCTGACGATGGTTTCGTCTCGATCGGAACAGCGGTTTTGAAGATATCGCCAAGTGTTTTTTTCGCGCTAAATCGCAACGCTACACAACCGTAAGACGAAACCCAGCATGTTTAGTATCGTTGGACTCGGCACCGATTCAGGAACTCAAAAAACATGACTCCCGTGAAAATAAGTGTACCACAACCCAAAGCTATAAGCGTTTGAAAAAAAATTCACCACTAGGTGGCGCTGTTTCGAAACTTCTCAGGCTCCTTTAGGGCATCGTACTTGACTCATACCGAGTTTCGTAACAATTCGTTCATGCGTTCAAAAAATACAGCATTTTAGCACATAATTCAAAATGGCCGACAGCCAAAATGGCCGATCTGGAAAATTGGATATCGGTGGACTCGGCATGACGCCCTGAATCTAACGAGACCAAATTTATGATTTTTGGACAGACCGTTCAGAAGTTACGAGCAAAAATAGCCATTTTTCATATCTCCGGACCACTAGGTGGCGCTGCGCCGAAACGCAGCACGTAGCCTCAGGTCATGCTTGTGATAACACGTACCAAGTTTGGTCTGAAAATGAGTAAGCGTTGCGGAGATACAACCTCACGTCTGTTTTCTGAAGCGCTACGTAAATTTTGTTTACGCGTTTATCGAAAACGGTTTTCGAATCATCTTGAATTCCATAACTTTTTGTCAGCACTGCCTGGAGATGATCCGGTGCGATTTTGGTGAAAATCGGACAAACCGTCTAGGACGAGTTCGCAAAAGTAGGTTTTTTGGAAAATTCAAAATGGCGGCCGTTTTTTTATGACGGAAAATGACGTCATAGGGTGCGATCGAATCGGCATGAGCTCAGGAACAAGAGGAATTTTGTTGATAGGCCTTACGGTTCAAAAGTTATTAGCATAATAAAAGTGAAATTTTGGACAGTTGGTGGCGCTAGAGGGAATGCGTTAGAGACACCAAAATTGGTGTATTTAAAGTTGGGACTGTCCTCTATCAGAATGTCAATTCAAAACAACTTTCCCGCAAACCGGTCTATGGGCTGCCATAGACGCCAAGTCGGAAACGGAAGAATAATAATAATAAATATAGCTGCAAGCAGCCATTACCGGGGCCAAGCGCAAGAAGCGGCAACATATGCCAAAATGGCAAGGAGTGGCAGACCAACTGCAGCAAGGAGCAATTAAGGGCATTTTGAGAGAACTTTGGGCAAATGGCTAAAAAAATCACATAAACATTAACTTATAAGATGATTTAATGGGTTATCACTTTCGAACAATAGGTGGCGCAG